CTAGGTTTGAAACATTCAGATTCAATTTCTACATTTGTTAAGAGTATACTTAACTCCTTATTTATCAACAATTTTACTGACATTTCAAGTTTACAACAGTAAGGCAACTATTTAAAAAGTGACATATACGTGGCAGTAATGAACACTGAGGTCCAAGATGAGTGTTAACACTGGTTGTAATGGCTTAGCTTGTATCATTTTGTTGGGCCAATTTGGCAATAATGATTGTCTTCCATTTTCAAATAACATTGACTTTTGAATAATAGCCTAGTCTTTGGAACCTAATCATGTTTACATATGAGTAGTGGATGTAGTATAAAAATTTTCTTCAGTGATGAATCTATGGTCTTCAAGATTCAGAAACATTTTCTCCATGTATTGTAGGTAAAATATTGGAATAAAGTGAAAACATTATTATCAAATTAACCAAAATTTGCCAAATTAGTCTTTTGTGTTCTAAAGAAATGAGTTTACTATCATATGTGTACATTCATGGTGGCAGAGTATGAACAGGTTGGTGAGTAGGAATATGCCAAAATTTCAAGATGTTTGAAGAAATATGTTGTGGGGAATGCTTTGCTTTGTAGACAGTAATGACTGTAGGAAATGAAGAGAGGCATTTTTCAGTTAGACGGGAGAGAAATAGCACGTAACAACCATTCCTATACCTTGACCATAAATTGAGTAGAATTTTAATTTATACATCCTCTCAAGCTTTTAATTTTGGGTTTTGGATATGAAAAGAGTAAGACATCTAGCTTCCTAATTATCACTGCGGTTTATATAACTTTTCTGGGGTTTTACGTCCATAATAGTCAGCATTTTTATATTTTTTTAAAAAATTTCTTTTATTATTATTCTTTTTTTTTACTTTTTCTTTTATGTTTATACCATCAAATCAGATCTGATTGGTACAGGAGGCAATTGTTCCTCCTTCTTCAGCAGAGCATCTGGTGGATTTGAACTGCACACCTCTGGGATTGCAGTGCAGCTTCTTGCCACTAGCCCACCAGAGCTTGCCAGCATTTTTACATTTAAAGAGGACCATCTTCCTTGTGGTAACATATTGGTTTGCATACAAAATTTGTATACATGGTGTTTTATTCATGTACATTGTTTCACACAATCCATAATGTACATTATTTAATACATTCATTCATATATATTGTTTTATAAAATTGATGGCTGCCTACTATTACCACTTCTTTTCAGATCCCCATTGATTTTTCCTGTTCCTTGACATACACACATATACACAGCTCCTCATATGCTCACCAAATTCTGTTAGCCTAGTGTGGTAACTTTTAAAGGTAATCTTATGAGTCAATTTATTCCTTTGTTTGGATCGGATTTCACCCAAAGAATAACATGGGAGATACCTATACAGTGATTAATTGTAAGGCTAGTTACCTATAAGACTATTTCCAGTAGAGAAGTCACTGGAAATAGTTGCAATCTGTAACATTTTATATAACTTGACAATTGGGTTTAAGAGAAGCCTCAGTAGTCAATGATGTGAAGAGTATCAGCTCAGGTCCACTTCAGACCAAATTTATAAGGTCATTAATTAGTTTCTTCCTTTTTAATGTTCATTTACTTTTTGAGAATTGTGCTGATTGGTAATTGTGCTGCTAACCCAAAGGTCATGCCTCTCTCATAGTGTAAATGCACCAGTGATTCTGCTTGTGAAAGATGGACAGTCTCCTCCTAGGCAATTTCTACTTCTTGGAAAGCTTAAGGAAGATTAGCTATGCATGGATTCTAACTCAATGGCAATGAGTTTGAGTTTCTTGCCAGTAATCAAGTGCCTTGTATAGGCTCAAAATACAGTGGTCAGTGTATGTTAATTAATATCTGAGTCCTAAAGAAAAAAAAAACCAAAAAACCCCCAACCAAAAAAAAAGTCTGAGTCCCAAGGGATTATTACTTTTCTTATTGGCCTTTGATATACTCTTTATTTTGCTTGAAAAGATAAAGACCAAAGGGTTGAATGCTGCTGGGATTAAAAAAATTGCCCTAGAGAGTTGAGATTTTACAAAGTTGCTGTTTAAATGGCAAAACTAACTTGGATAATACTTAAGGTATATCCAGCTTGGTTTCATTAAAATCTGAAATATCATAAATGTTTGGTGCAATAGGTTAAAGATTTGCTTTATTCTCTACTGTCTGAAAAATAAAATGCCTTTGCTTGTGACTTCTGCAATGCAGCTAGTGCAAGCCATTTTTAATATGTAAAAGGTGTTGGTCCTAGTTGCTAGGTGAAAATGAACAGGTATGGACTCCTACAATAAACTGATTTATCAGATGGTATAAAATACAGTGCATAATTTAGGTTGTATAGATTTTTAGTAGCTAGCACTTCTCCACATAGCAGACCAAGCAATACAATTTTTGCTACTGGCACTTGCTATGATTCAAACAAGGGCCTATTACTGATGAGAATTCTAGTTAAAAATAAATTGAAGTAGCTAACCATTTATTTAACACGACAAGCCATTGAAATAGAGGAAGACCATCAGTGAGATGGATTGACACAGTAGCTGCAACATGGACTCAAGAATAGCACTTACTGGGTGGGCAGTGCAGGACTTGGCAGGGTATCATACTGTTGGACACTACGCATTGGAACCAACTCCATGGCACTTAGCAGAAACCACCTTACTAAAACAGCTTCTAAAACCAAAAGTCTAGGATTATAATCATCCACAGCAGTACTTTTTTCAGTTAATTCCTACTTGTAATGGCTTCATCATGTGTGTCACAGCAAAACAGTAACCTTACTAAAAAGACTGTTGCAGGTCTTCACTCTTGGAGATTGACCCATCTCACAGTCTCTACCCTTGAGATGTATCTTTGCTATCTTTCACCTTCAAGGGAAAAATAAAAAAAGACTATGTCACAGTGAGGGAAGATATGCTATTTATTTTCCAATATAACATAGTTACTAAAAACATTACCATGAAGCTACTGTATTTTTCAGGTAACTGTTAATAATGCTTCCAATTTTAAGTTTCTTAACGAGGGATTTCTCAATCTTACCCCTGTCTCTACAGCATTAATAAGGAGAACATTAAAAAGCATCTATTACTCCACCCAAATTTTATTTCTATTTAAAAGGCAGGTTTTGTTTAATGTTCACTATCTGAACCTTTCCTACTCTTGAAAAATTTTGGATTTACTGGTTTATTCATAGTGTTCAAAATGAACTAGCCATCTCTATTTTCTCTATTTCTGAAACACGCATTCATTAGGTGTCTATGTATGATGACGCAGCAGTAACTAATAGAACCTCACTCTTTTTTTTTGTTGGATATTATTCTGTTCCAAGTAGCTAAGGTAAAATCAACTGTTTTTGAGATTCTAAATATTCTTAAAACTACAGGGCCTGAGCAAAAATGCAAGACACCTAATAATAAAATTTTGTAGCCAATTCATAAGCTCATATTAGAAAAATCCCTTAGGATATTGTAGAATACATCTTCAAGTATTTGGTCTAACAAATTTTGCCAAGCATAAGAATTCCAACATGGTAGAAAGGGTTGCCCACTTCTAGTCATTCTTTTATCTTACAAAGAGAACTTCTTTTCCTCCTCAGTATGTAAGATATGCATATTGGGGAAGAGTCACTAAAATGACTAAGGATGGTTTTTTTCACACAAAGCACAACTGCTTAACATACAAAATGATAATCTTATGTGGAACTGAAAAGGTCACTTCCTCGAGATCTTTCGGGAGAAAAATAACATACAAATCAAAGGCACAAAACGCAATCTTTATTGTACTTATTCAATTATGGCTTATTTACAGGTTATGCTTCAACACTAAATTACTGAGGTTAGTCTTATTCGATAATGAAGCTGTTAGTGGACACGACCTTCTGGCTTTGAAGCGTTTATATATCCAAACATTGCTAACTTTACAGGCACCAAGGTGTTCCCTACTTTAAATTGTTCATTCCTTTCCTGCTAGCATGAAGACTCTTTGAAGCATCCTTGATTGAATTACATCTTTTATTTGATGTGGCAAAAAAACAAAACAAAACAAAAACCAACCCAAAACTTGCTAAATTCTGCTTAGAATCTTTTAGTTTATGATGTTCAAACTCTTCACACCAGACACACTGATGATCAAACTAAACTGACGGACGTCCTCCAAAATGTCCGCAGGAGCCTTAGGGAAGGTTCTTACAAGGCCAGTTTGAGATACCTAACAGATGGCCTTCACTGTTAAGCCAGTCACTTAACAGAGAATGCTGGTTCTTGTCAGAATCCACGCGTTAGCTTATCCAACAGTCAGAAGGGCGTGTTTAAGGACAGGGATGATGCTAAAGCCCATTTCGTTGTCCTCCTCCAGGGGATGTCAAACCACCCACTGTATGAAACTAGGCGGGGGAGGAGTGCAGCAGTTTGCTGCCAAGACATCTCTCTGCAGGGAAGCAGTTTCCCTGAGTCACGGAGAGGGCGGGAGGTTGGGCCCACCTGCCCACGTCTCGTCTTCGTAAGGGACCCAATATAAAGAGGCAAAGATAGTAGGGTAAGGGATAGCACTCGCCATTCCTCAAGAAGGCCCCACCGCCACCTCATTCCCAAGAGACTCTGCATTTCCAGAGAAGCTGCACTCCATTCCGGCAGCAATCAGCCGACCCTTCCCTACCAGCGTCACGTGCCCCAGGAAGGACGTGGGTGGGACTTGAACCACCAACGGAAATGACGTAGTCTCCTCTAGTCGCATGATGTGGCAAAATGAGAAAAAAAAAAAAAAAGTAGGGGTAGGGAGTAGCAAGAGGCTGGGGAAAGTGATGAGTCCAAAAAAGTAGTCCCTTCGGGTCTTATATTGGCACCTTGTCGCAGCAGTAAACGAGGCTCTCGGCGCACTGCGCCCCGAATTCTTGCGCCCGGCAAACCGCCGCACTCTGTGGAGGGGTACATAAGACGGAGGGGGTGAGACGACTTGGGCGGAGTTCTGCCGCCGGGAACCTTCCGCAGGGCTCAGCCGTTTCCGGAGTCTGCGCTGCGCCCGGTTCCGCCATTGCGGCTCTCCCGGCCCCTGGAGCCTCCGCCCCCGACCCGAGCTCTTTCGTCTGCCTGCCAGTTTCCTGCGTCCCCGGAGAGTATCCTGCTGAGCCCAGCCTCCCCCCCTCCCCATCTCCTCCTTTCCCTTGGAGAGCCCGGGCATTCGCTGCCCCGTAGCCCCAGTGACAGGAGGAGACCATACCCCCCGACAGCGCCATGGCCCAGATTCTACCAATTCGTTTTCAGGAGCATCTTCAGGTGCGGTTGGGTTAGGGCTGGTGAGGGCTGCGGAGAAGGTGGTAGTGGTAGAAAGCAAGGAAGAAGCTGGACTATATAGGCCGAAGCAGAAAGCGGTGTCGTGGGGGGGAGGGGGCTGTCGGTGCGTGGGATAGATGGAGGAGGGGGCGCTATCTTGGAATGCTTAACGCGTTAAAGAAATCTTGTGGGGCTTGAATGGAAAGGACAAGAGCCAGGGTGCAAAGGGCGGCGAAGCTAGGCCTGAGTCTCAGACTCTGCCTTGCTTCCTGGATGGCGAGAACTGCGTGTACTGATTCTCCTTTGCCCATTTTGTTCAGTTCATTCATTTGGGTAGGTGGATGGGAGGAGATTCTCTCTTGTGACTCCTGGAGCAAGGATTCTCTTCACCCCCTGGGCCATTGCAGGGCTGTCATCTCCCATTTCTCTTCTCCCTCTCCCCCATCGTGTCTGCACCTTCGAGTTGTGGGGCGGCTGGGTGGGGAGGAGCAACCTTTTTTTCTTCCTCCCTCTGCGCCTTTCAATAGGAAAAGACACCTTCCCCTCTGAGATGAGGGACGACGGCCTTCCCTGAAGCTTTAGGATCAGAAGGTCACTGAAGGAACCGAAGGAGATAGAGACTGGGGGACGTATTGCAGAGGGCGGGGTCAGTCTCAGCTTGCGTGGGGTCAAGGTCCCTAAGGGAAATTAGCCTTTTTCCCTTTCTTGATCTCTTTAGGGATGGGGCCACTCTTAGTCCGTTTTTGGTTCTAGGAGGTGGGAGAGAGCCATTCAGAGATTATTTGGGCATCTAGTGGAAGCTAGCCGATTGTTGGGCTCCTGGTAGGAGTAGCTCCTTCAGGACAGTTTGGAATTAAACAGCCCAGGGGATAGAGCACACCTGCTTTGAACTATTCAGGTCTATTTGGTGTGTAATTGGCTCCCTTTTTGCAGGTTCTAGAATTCTTCCACTACGATAGCTTATCCTGGAGGCAGCCAGACCGTTGTCTTTGTCTGGCAGCATGCCAAAGCAGAGCCAGGCAGGTGATCCTTGGAGGGCTTGACTGAATCCAGACTTTTCGGTTCTTCAATTTCCTAGGTTCACCAGTCCTACTTCTACTTATTTTTTACCTTATCTGAAAGAATTACTTGCTTGTTTTCATCCCAGATACCCCTTAAAAGAGCTGTAATAGAATACAGGCTTCTGAGGAGCTAGTTCCATTAAAAAAAAATTATAGAAAACTCAGCGGTATATACAAAACACTGATGCTGGTGATGCATTGGACATGTTCCCAGTGAAGGCGATTTATATTAATTTCTACTGTAACTATTTCTTTTTAGCTATTCTCATTTTTGCCTGCATCAGCAAGAATTGCTTTTCCTTTAAGACTTAAATTGTAATAGGTAGCAAACCTATAAGACAAGTTGAATAATGAATTTCCTTTAGTCATCTGTAGTTTGCAGGATTACTACTCTGAAGTAATGGAATATAGCATTACAATAAAACCACCACAGTTTCAAAAGATTTTTTTAAAAGTTAACAGAACAGGCATGTAAAAATTCTTTACACACACACACACACCCCAGTCTGGTTACTGTGACTAAAGTAAGGTGTTAGCTGAGTATGGATGGTTAGGAAAGACTGGTTTGGAATATGAAAGAAAACAGGCTGTTCTCCTGCTAACGTGCATTTGAAATACAATCCTGTAGACAAATGTGTGTAAACCATACACAAGAGAAGCAGGTACAGCTGCTGCTGAGTTTACATGACTGAAGCGATTGCTATCTAGTTAATTTCAACTCAAGGCAACACTATGAGGTTTATAACCCACTATAAAATATTACTCGTTGATCTGTTAACTAAAATCAGTAAAAACACCCATAGCTTTTTTTATTAAAGAGCAGACAAAAATTGTCAAATGATGGGGGGGGGGAATTCAACAATATCACCAATTGAAGACAGATGTAATACAGGTGCACTTTTTAATTGGTTTAACGTTTCTGCAGATACCTTGAATAGAGCCTTTCCTTCTCAAATAATCTTAAAGTTCTGAGTATAAAGCAGTTTGGGGAACAGTATTTGGAGAGTGGGGAGGACCAGCCATTTTTGGAAGGCAGTGATAAACACTTGTTATTGTGAATGTATGTCTCATTGGATAATCATTATTTTCAAGTAGAAATCAAATCATTAGCCTTTTCTAGAGTATATTGCCTGGCTTCTCATTTTATCCCTTTTAAAGAAAATTGATAGAGATTATTTCAGTTGACAACTTGGGCCTATGATTTCTGATCCTTAGCCAGTTGCTAAGTAGCAGAAAACTTTCTGAAACACTTGGGATAAAATTGGGAATAAGAAATGAGGTACTTGAGTAGAGATTTAGTTGTTAAAATGTCAAAGATTAATTGTAAAGAATTTTCTTTTTATCAGTTTTAACTACCAGCCAACAGAAGGATATGTCATCAAAGCTCAGAACTACACATAAATATTAATATTTTCAATTATGCATTAGAATTTTTTTAAATGGTATTTAGGGTAATGGCAATCAGCAAATGAATTCCTATTTGAGTAAGGCAGTCTTAGGCTGTATTTAAACAATTACCATTTCTTGGCACACTGAGTATTTTTATGATAGCTCACATATCCCATGGAATCCTCAGGTTGTGGAAAGCCTGGGATTAAAATTCTGCCTGCTCTGTTCTTCTTGGTTCATAAATGCAAACATGGATTGTGAGTTGGATGGTAGATATTCTTCCTTTAGTTGTGCTTTTCAAAGAGAAAACAATGATACACATTTCTGGAATATTCTGTGTGCCTACCTATACATTACCTGGAAGAAGCATATTCTTGGGAATTATGCTGCATTCTCCTTTAGAAACTGAAACTGTTGTATATTTCAGAAATTTCCATGGTCCATTTACTTAGCTTAAAGGGATATGACTAAGTCTTAGGATTATAAGCTTGAAAATGATTTGACTTGAAACTTGTGTAAAGAACTGTAATCATTTTCATTTCAGTTTGTCATGAAATTAATAATTTTTGGAACCTTGGTTGTTTGCTGTTACTTTTCTTAGTTATTTTTTAAAAAAAATTTCTTAAATTTTTTTGTGTGTGTACCGTCAAATCAGATCTAACTGGTATAGGAGGAGATGGTCCCTCCTTTTCCAGCAGAGCATTTGGTGGATTTGAACCACGCACCCCTGGGATTGCAGTGCAGCTTCTTGCGACTAGGCCACCAGAGCTCACCTACTGTAATTATAATTTGAACCTTAATTTTCAAAGTTTTACTTTATGTCCTCAGCTTTTTAGCTAACTTACTTAGACATATTCATTGTCACATTTGTTTTGCCCTTTGAGGGTCATTGTCCAGTACAATTTTCTGCAATGATGGACATGTCTGTTGACCACATCTGGAGATTGAACAAGTGAATGTGGCTCATATGACTGAGGAACTGAATTTTTACCTTTACTTATTTATAATGAAATGTAAATACAATATGAGAGTTTTTATTACTACATTGAACTGCAATTAGAGATCATACGGATGTGCTTTGCTTTGTGCAGCCCTGTTGGTATAGCGTTATGTATCAGGCCATTAACCCAAAGGTTGCCTGCTCTGATAGAGAAAGATGGACAGTCTTCTCTTGTAAAGATTTACTGCCTGTGGGCAACCCAGTGAGGATCCCTATCAAGTGAAATTGACTGGACAGTAGTCCAGTCTTTCTGTTTTGTTTTAATGTGCTTTATAAGACTGAAAGTTTCTTTTACTGCTTGTATTTCTGCACTTAAAACATTTTGTTAGTAGGGAGCTCTGGTGGCCTAGTGGCAAGAAGCTGCACTGCAATCCCAGAGGTACGCGGTTCAAATCCACCAGATGCTCTGCTGGAGAAGGAGGGGCAATCTCCTCCTGTACCAGTCAGATCTGATTTGACGGTATGCACAAAAAAAAATAATAAAATTTAAAAACAACAACAACAAAAAAAACCCCAAAACATTTTGTTAGCTGAAATTTAAGACAAGATCCTAAAACTGTTAGGAAGTGGTATTGGTGAACACATGACTGTGAATGGAGATGAATAATCAGCATATTTCTTTAGAGCCTGTAATAAAGCAATGAATATGGTTGGTTGCTTTCAAGTCTTCACTTAATTCCTTCATTTTCACTCCCTAAATAGCCAAAGAAAATTACTCGGGAAGTAATGCCTAAGGGAACACGGTGTCAGTGTGGGATTTGAACTTGGGTCTTCTGACAAAATGTTTCAAGGAAATTAAAGAATTGTCCTTAAGAAAAGTTATATAGGACCCTAGTGTTCTTCCCTTCCTTTTGATTTTGACCCCAAAAATCAAGATGTGTGACTAGTGATGGAGTCCTTAGTGAATTGCACTGCTGATACAAAGCAGTACCTCTCTGGGGTTGGAATCCACTGACAGTCTTCTGTGCAGTTTATAGTCTTGGAAACCCAGTGGAGGTTTCACTATGAGTTGTAACCAATTTGACAGCAAGAGGAATTTGTGCTTTTTAAAAATAGTGGATAGAGCAAGAATCTAGTTACTTGGACCAGTGCTGCCCAATAAATCACAGATGTACTAGCCATGGTAAAGGGAGAAAAATGTTAGAAATTTTTAAGTACATTTTCATTTCAGGTACCCCAGAATTATTTTTAACAGTATTTTAAGATTGTTATTTTTGTTGTGTGCAGTTACACTGGAACTGACCCATAGTTGACCCTCTAGTGGGTTTTCAGAGGCAGTAAATCGCACAGGAGGAGATTGCCGATGTTTCTTCCACAGAACAGCTGGTGGATTTGAGCCACATACCTTGGGTTGGCAGCACAAATCCTCACCACTAAGCCACCAGGGTTCCCTTCAAGATAGATTCAGAATTTCATAATGAGATATTACATATTTTGTCCATAAATTTTCAACATCTTTGTATTTTATAATTAGAGCACATTTAAAATCAGACTTTCTTCCTGTACTTGTGAAGTCTGTCTGAATTGACTCAAAGCGGAACCTCCAGCAGGTT